GTGGTAGTGTTAGTTTTTTTTTTTTTCTTCTAGATCTGTTTTGATGTAGCAGAGAGGAACAAAAATGGCGATATTTATTTTTCCTTTTAGCAGTAGAGAGATACCTGGCAACATATGCGGCATGCGTCAATGGAGAGATATCTGGCAACATCAATGGTGAAAATTGGAGATTTGGAGAAGATGGAAATTTGCATAGAGGTGTGGGAGAATTTATGGTAAAGAAGAATATACACGATCACTGTGAAATTTGGTAACTGATATTTATCAGCTTTAGGAAACTGAATAAAAGATATACTTGGTAACTAACCTTAAGCCATATTTAATACAGTAACCGTGTATTTAAAAGGTAGTGATATTCATAATAATAATTCTATCTAATGGTATTTTTAAAAATAAGATTGAATGGACTGGTAAGAAGAGTAAGTTTCTCTAATATTAAAGTTTGTAGAATGTGGGCCTGATGTAGGGAAAAGCTTACGATGGGAAGATAAAAGGATACAAGGAGATACTCTCTCAAAAACACGGGATACTCTCCCAAAAGAAAACACGATATCTTATTTCATTCAATATTCAACTCCCCGTACAATTTGGCTAGACTGCTAATAAATAGAGTTCAATATCTAGGAGTCCCTAACTTGTCAAACAAGTAAATAAAATATCTTCCTAACCAACTAATTAAGGAATAATAATAATAATAATAATAATAATAATAATAATAATAATAATAATAATAATAATAATAATAATAATTATATTTATGCTGCATCATTCTCCCCCGGTTGAGCAGGATTCGCCCTCGAATCCGACCCGTTCCCATTGGAGAAGTATTTCCCGCTTCGACCTCGATCGAACACGAAACTTGAAGAACGTCCAACAACACCGAAGGTAAACATAAGCTTGGGCAAGGGCCGAAGTGCTGCAAAAGCACATGTACATGACGCCAGACGCATAACCCACACATCCGAAAGAGCAGCAAACATAACACCACGTTTGTCGCGTCCAAATCTAAAATTATAGCCAACCACCCCGTTGATGGGAGATTTCGCGATACACAATTGAAAAACAGACGACAAGTTATTCAACCTCGTCGTCGGCTCCCAAAAACCATCGTTGGCCAAGATACGCCCTAAATCGGGTCCGACCGCTAGCCGAGGAATCGACAGTTCAACCTCCGCGTCGTACAATGTGGGACCCATGTCGTCGCAAATACG